CATCCAAGTTTCATTCTTTGTGCTTTTGCTTCCGATCAGTTTCAGTGTGATTTGATCCCTTTCTACTCTGTTTGACCTCCTTTTTTTCTGAACAGCTAGCTAGCAGCAGAGTAAGTGCTGTCAGGGTGTCAGTTAAAGTTAAAGTTAAATGCTCCTGTGAGTGTCTCTAGGCCAGGTAAGTGCAACACCATTTTGCGTCAAATAATTACATAACTACCTGTACTTAGGCCGTTATGATAAATGCTGACTATAGTGCCTGCAGGAACCTCCTATCGATAGTTTAGTGTGCATAGAAACCATGTAACTCACCTATCCGCCACATATGACAGGTCATATAGGCAAATCGCCCACCTTACAGAGTTTTATAAAAATCCTATACACTATTGTTAGCTACATCTACTACTATGTTTTGGTTTTTATAATAAGGAGCTTTAGCCATTCTCAACATTTATGTTTTTTTTTTTGTTTTCCATAGTTATTTTCTTTAAGGCTGTATTTGCAAATTGACAAGCACCCTTCATGTATGCATCTGTCCTGACATAACATCCGTACGGCTAAAGGCTTTCTGGATTTAGTGCAGCAGTCCAGATGTCTTCTTTTTACCCTCTATAGTGTTCATAAAGTTGGCCCAAAGCAAGCTGAAAGGATAGGAGCTAGAAACAGGAGGAAGAAGCTATAATAATTTACAGACCAAGGAAACGTCTTAAAGTTGCAGGACTTTGGCCCTTAATGGCATAAGTTGCCAATCTCTAGGCAATCCACTCTTTTGAAGTTTTAAAATTTTGTCTGAGGGCAGAGTTATGCTTCTACATTGGATTTAGTAACTCTTTCATTAATTTGAACATCAGCAAAGAGAATCATTTGTTATATCAGAGGAACTTCATAGCTGGTGCTGATTTGTCTTTGAAAATATCTTACTTGAGATCAGTTGAACTGTTTTTTATTGTAATGTTGCCTTATTGTGCGTTACATGAACCTACAGCCTACTGTGTATATAGTATATGGCTATATACTGTATATTATATATAGTATATTGTATGTTTTATATTGTATATATATATCTATAGATTCTGTATTCTCCATATACATCTAATTTGTCTGCACAATCAACACCAGGTCAAATTCCTTAAAAGTGCAATCCTACGTGGCAATATATCTGATTCTGATTCTGATTCTGATTGTGATGAATGTGATGAATTAGAGCCAAAGCTTTCCCTTGAGGGAACCCCTGCAGGACAGCTTTAAATCAATTTAAACCCCCTACAGCAAATAATGCACACAAAACAACAAAAAAAGTTTATACCCGAAGATTTGAGTAACAACTTCTGCAAGTGTTACAAAAATATAAGATTAAGTTTCCAGTTAAATGTCTCATTTCACAGGATTTACAAAAAGATGGGGAAGTTTTATCTTATTTTATTTTTAACGTACCTGAACATTTCTGCTTTCTGAAAGTTTGTGTGTGAAAACAGCCTAATCCAAAATTATGGATTCTCACCTTAATGAGATAGTTATGCATGAATGGAATACTAAATCACCTCTTTGGTTAGGAGGAACGGGGCCAACCTGCTTCCAAATTGCAAGTGAACAAACAGACTATAGGCTGAACTGCAGCCAACTACTTTAAGAAGTAAGGAGCTAAAAAGAGAAAATGAGAGGCTATAGGAGGGGTGCATTCCTTTCCACATAATTAGGTTTTATTGCCTTTGGTGGGATCATATCTCTTTCCTTTATCTTTCCTCTCAGCATGTTTTTCCTCACCATTCTGTTACACTGAGAATCCCTGCATCAAGCTTCAAAACTCAGTCACCTCTAACGAAGACAAGAGCAAAGTATGAGTCAGGAAATCCACACTTTAAACATTTCAGAGGGGAAGTAAGTAGGAGATGGTGAGATGATAAGATCCATGACATTTCCTTTCAACTTCAGCTGCATTTTATGTTGGCCCAGCTGCTTTCAGCCCCTGCCAAGGGTTGCTAAGTCCTATAACTGAAAGAAAATACAAAGTGGAGAAACCTTAGTTAACCTCTGCATATATGCATTAACCCAAATGCAGACAGATTCCTGAATCATTTTAAATGAAAGAAAAATTACCTTGGATGGAAAAGGGTATAAAATTAAATTGAGCTTTTTGATTAATTCTACAGGAAGCCTGGACACTTGTACCAGTAGAAAAATATTTAAGTTTACATAACACATAAAATAGTTCCTTCATACTGTAGGCAGCGAAATACCAGTGTGACAGTTCCTGGATTACAATCTTAAATATTACATTTCCTACTTAGCCACAGATAATCCAAGCCATGAATAAATAAGGCAGGAAAATTCAGTGTTTAATATTAATTGTTAACCAGCTATAGTGAAAATGTTCCTGTCTAAGGTAATTGGTTGACATTTGTTTTATAAATGCACCCATGAATGCTTCATGTAAAAGCTTGCTGTAAATCTGAGCTGCTATGTTGCCTCTTACTTGGTTTAGGGAGTTTGAGGAAATATTCACAATATGAGCGGCTTGATAAAAACTCCATAAACACGAATAAAGGTCGAAAGGAATCCTGGAATTCCGTGTGGAGCTGAGATAAGACATGGCGGAAAAAAAATATAAACATACATAATTATAGAGATGAAGTTACTACAGTTACCTCATACACAAGTTGTGGAGTTACCAAAAAAAATACAATAAAAACATTTTTTTTTTTAAGTCAAAAGAAAATATAAAGGTTGTCATTAGAGTAGTTAACTAAATGAGAGAGCAAAGTTTCCATTTAATTTTATGATGCATCCTATTCTGAAAGTATGTATCATGGCTTTCTGGTTTAACTTTAAATTTTGTAAGATAAATAAATATATATATGTTTTAATTAAATATCACATGACTCAATAAGTATCCACAAAAAAGCTTGTTCCAGCTCTTATCTCATGTTGGTATGGTCTGATTCTGATTTCTTGTTTAAACAACGTTAAACATTCAATGTTATTGACTTCCTTAATCAAAGGAAAGTATTGAGAATGTCTGTTTCTTTCAGTAGATTGCATTCCTGATTCTTTTTTTCATCTGCGCGCCGGACTAGAGTTGTGACAGGCAGCCTGGGCCACAGGCGGCTACGCTCTACCCCTTCTATTCATTCGGCTAGCTAATCTGAATCGTTCAATTCCATTTCGAGAGTGAGATCATCTGTGGTAGTAGCACTAGACATCTTCCAGGCATGTGAGTAAAACTAGCAGCAGTTCAGCAGACAGGATGAATGAATGGTAGCCGGCGCGCCGGATGCCGTCATACACATGCCGCTATGTTTTTAAAATATATAAATATAAAAAATATAACCGCGGATGTCTGGGGGACAGTGATTCGCCTACATGTTATGAATGCTGGCGTACCATAGATGATAAATTATGAACAGTTCAGTTAGTGCCTTCAAGTCGATTGCCCATAGGAAGACGTTACTTGGATATAACCTAACGGAATATCTTCAGAAGGGCTCCATATGACACAAAACTCATATGGGTGAGTAGAACATGATGTAACAACGTAAAATCAAGGGGCCAATGTAAAAAAAACAGCGTTCCCCTTTTAATTTGTATACATAAAATTCAAACAAAACACATGAAGCTCTGTTGTTTTAACCTGACAAATATCCATCCATTTTCTGACACGCTTTATCCCGAGTGGGGTCACAAGGGGTGCTGGTGCCTGTCTCCATCGCAGGGCAACACAGAGACAAACAACCATTCACACCTAAGGAGAATTTTAGGCCCCGTCCACACGAAGTCAAAACGAACACGAAACGCTGATATTTTCCAAAACGTTTGCCGTAAAGACGGAGACGTAAAATAAATGTGAGCGTCCACACGAATGCATGAAAACGCTGCAAAATGTATGCCAGGCCTGTAAGTGGCGCTGTGGTGCCAAAGCAAAAATAAGCGACGAAATGTTGGGCATGTGCACTAATATTTATACATGGTTGCCCTGCGGGTCCATTTTCGTGGTTAAGTCAAATTCAGGTGCTGAACTATGTCGTCGATATTGCTCTGTTCTTCCTGGAGATATTCCAGAAGAAGAAGATTCTGTTGTAAGCCTGACAGCAGGGTGAGTAGCATTAGCAGCAACGGCGCCATTGTTGTTGTGATGTGTCGCGCATGCGTGTTTAGAGGCGACGCTATTACGCATGCGTGTAAAAAAAAATATGCGGTTAGGGCGTAAAGATGGAAACGCGAAAACGGCGTTTCGAAATCTTCCCACTCTGAAGGCTGAATAAAAAAAAGATCGTTTACAGACCCCCGAAACGCCGGCTTCGTGTGGATGAGAGGCTGGTTTGGTGAAAAATTTGTGCGTTTAGGCCAGGGTTCGTCTTCGTGTGGACGGGGCCTTAGAGAAGCCAATTAACCTAACAGTCATACGTTTTGGACTGTGGGAGGAAGCCGGAGTACCCGGAGAGAACCCACGCATGCTCAGGGAGAACATGCAAACTCCCTGCAGAAAGATCCCAGGCCGGGAATCGAACCTGCAACCTTCTTCCTGCAAGACAGCAGTGCTAGCCACTGCATTACTGAGCAGCCCCCTGAAAATAATATAATAAAGTTTAATGAATTGCAGGAATACTTTTGAATGGTTCTGCAAGTGAGATTTTGGAGTAAAATGAACTGCAATAAACCAAGTATCCACCCGCTGCCTTTTCGATCTCCCCCCCAGTTGGTGTGATTGATGCAGAGGAATCTGCTGCATCACTGAGGGCTCTCTGTTCGGCCCACACACACACAGGCGCTCGCCTTTTCTCCGGAGCCAGACAGAGAGCGGCGCAGGCAGGGCTTTCTATGCAAATATAGCCTGAGTAGGCGGCAGCCCCTAGCCTGAGCAGAGTGTGCAGCAATGTGAGAACCCTCACAGACTCCGCCCACGTCGCCCAGTTACTAAGCAACCACCTGCGAGGAGGAGGGAGCGAAGGGGCGGATCTATGAATTCAACTGTTGCCTGATCTGAGCTCAACTGCAGCCGGCGAACCAGTCAGCGGCGGAGAGGAAGTGTCTGATAGGTGCAGAGAGGGTTCGGTCTGTGTGTGAGAGACTGAGAAAGGAAGCTGTATTACATCCAGGACGGTACCACTACCGGGGACCCAGTCTGTGGATTATTCCTCGCCTGTGAAGGAACACCTGTGTGTGGAGAGAGAGCCGGACTGAGCCCTGGAGAGCAGGGCGGGTGGATGACTTCTGTGGATGCGGGTCTGAGCGGTGGAGAAAGGGAGGCTGCTGAACATGGGCCCCCCCCTGTAGTCACCGGGGTAAGAGACCTGAATGCGCCCAGCATGCTGAAATGTGGGGGTGATGAAATATTACTTGACAGAACGAGAACAAAACCAGAATCAGGTCATTGGTGGCTTTTTTTTTTTTGCTGAACTGTTTGTGTTGGGGGGGTATAGAGTATCAAGGGGGGGTCTATTTGTGTTTGAATGTGGCTGGTAAACATAGTTGACCCTGCCCTGCAGCCTGCCACTCCTCACTCCTTCCATCAGTGTCTTCTTTCCTCCTTGTTTTGCTTCTCCTCTTCTGTTTTACTTCAACATCTTCACTGATGGTAATGTGGTTAATTGGAAATTAGGGTTTCAGGCAACAGCAGGGGAGGATGGCTGGGGATTAAAAGTGTCAGGCTGGGGTCCCCTCAGCCAGGTGGAATAGTAGTTTTTTTTTTTGCTTTACAAACAGTAAGTTTAGGGCTGAAACTAAGGATTATTTTGCAGATCGACTAATTTGTTGATTGTTTTAAGTAATTTCCCTCTGGGATTATTAAAGATTCTGATTCTGAATTTTTTGGATTCATCGATTAATAATCGGATAGCAAAAGGTTCCTTAATGAAGTCTTTTTGTTAAATTAAACCAGGTGAAACTAAAACTTTTCCACTTGAGGATTTCTGGATGTAGTATACAGACAGGCAAACAAGTTTTTATTTATCTTAAATGCTAAATGTATTTTTTGGGACAATTTTAGGTCGCTCCAGCAGCTAAAGGTCAGTTTTAGAGCCTCTATACTCCAATAAACGATTTATCAATTTCTGGATTAGTTGACGATTGTTTCACTAATAGATTAATCCGATTACTTGTTTCAGCCCTGAATACGATGCATATAAAGTCAATACTATGCCTAAATTTGAGGTGCATATTTAAAACCTACGGTTTAAAATCTTTGGAGTTTTTTACAACAAAGAGTTTCCCAACCCTGCTGCTTCTAAAAACATATTTAAACTACTTTTCTAAGTCATTTTCTACCTACTAATCATAGATGTTAAAACTTTAGATGAGCTAGGACATAAGTGGCAGAAATCCTGGTGATTATTTACTGATGATCATAACAATGCTGGGTTATGAAGTTTTACATTTCTACCGCAGGGTTTTGCAAGAACACAAATATTCCCAAAAGCTCACAAAAATGTGTTGTTTTTTTCTGCTTCCTTTTTTTTTTTTTGGTTTACTGACATTACAAGAGGTTTCAAAAACTGTTCTTAGGCTGTGCTTGTAGTTACCATGTTGGATTAAAAACTCACCTGGTGTTTGAGATCCATCAGAGTTGTTATTGGCTCAACCACCAGGGTTTGAATTTGATGAATGCTGATGCAAATTGCTAGTAAAACAGCAATTATTGAATCTGTTCTGTTTTTAGTTTCCTCACTTGTTTTAAAACTTTTTTATTTTAAAAGCATAAGTTAGTAAACATACAACCCATTAACGACATATGCCCCTTTTGTTTTTCAATAATTCATTAGAATTACCAAAAGAATGTGTATATTTGAAATAGACATTGTATTTATAAATAAACAACCTATAAAAAAACCCTCCCTGACCTGAATACTATTCAGTTATAAGTAAGAAGTTGTTTCCATATATTCTATATATTATATATCTATATATTATTCTATATATTAGATCTGTGAGCCTCATTTCTAAAACATAATCTTTTCCCTTGATGATTTAAAGAATGAGCTTCTTTACAGCGATCACGGCGTACTAAGAAGCCTCTTTGTGTTTGCCCTAAGGCTTTTGTTTCTTTAGTAATTTCAAATATTATTAGCGCTGGGTTTGAGTTGATCTGACTTTCAAAACATTTGAGACAAACACAAAAACGTCACATCATAGGACCTGAAGCTTTGAACAATTTACAAAGCTATGTTAATAGTTGTCATTCTGAACAGTACATTCAGATTCCAGCAAAGATTAAGCTTCTTTTACAAGTAATGTGGCCTATGTGTCATTTTCCTCTCTTAATTGGTTTTCCGTGCGTGTTTGTCATGTTGGAGGTTTACAGGTAGCTGTTCTGCAGAAACTTTTGTTGAAATCTGAAACTCTAAATGAACTATTTAGTGGACCTTATAGTGTAAATATCCACTTTTGCAAAGGCACCGTACCCCAAGTCTGCCTTTATGTCCCTGCAGGGCCTGAGTGTGAATGATTTAAAAAAAATCAGAGACACGAGCTTGCAGCTTAACAAAAACAAGTTTGCATATTTGTCTGGAGGGAGCTGTCAATCAATGAGCATGCAATCCAGGGTGCACCGTGCAAACTAGTAGCTACACCTCAGACAAACTAGTAGCTACACCTCAGACAGAAATGTACCTGTGCTGTATTAGAGGGGTTTCAGCTGCTTCCAGCTTGGGAGGGAGCTACGGGAGTCAAAATGTTCATCTGTGATAAAAGTCACAATATTTTCTGCAGCCCTGTGGGTGTGCCCCTTTTTATTTTTATTTTTTTTTAAGAACTTTTGTTGTAATGCCATCTATTCAGCCCTTTATTCCACTTTTTATTGTCCTGCCAAAATAATAACAATTTAAAACAGTCAGTTGTTGTTCATATAGAATGGGAGCCATTAGTGAAGTATTTATTATTTAAAGTCGTAGGGAAATCATATTTGAATGTCAAATCATTCTGGTTTAAACATGTATATAAATGTACACTTTATCAGAGGATATTGTCCCAAAATGTAGAAAAATCCTGTCTTAAAATTTGTGGTGGTCTTTCTTCGTTATTTTATGCAGGCCAGTTAGTCAGCTTGTACACCTAAATTCGGCCAATCATATATCAAAGGTCATCTTTCAATCAAATTTTTTCAACATAGCATCTTGATTCATATGTCGCAGCTAATATATGCAATGGTTGAAATAAGAAATAAGA